CTGCTGCAGCTTCGGGCTGCAGCTGTAGTGGCTGCTGTTGCCGCTCCTGCTGCAGCTGCACAAATCCGTTGCTGGTGCTGCAGCAGCAGCAGCTGCTGCTGCTGGTGCTGCGGGGGCAGAAGAGAGCTGCAGGCCCTGGCAGAGACCGAAGCGGCTCCCGCTGCAACAGCAACGAGGCTGCACTGTGCAAAGCTGCAGCAGCAGCAGCAGCAGCAAACTGCTTCAGCCCACTGCTACTAAGCGGTGCTGCAGCTGTGGTGAAGCAGCAGCAGAGAAGGATGTGATGCATGCAAGCGAGAAGCTCTCTGCTGCTGTCAGTTGGGGGCCCTTATCCAGCAGCAAAATTCCGGGCAGCACCTCTGCTAGCTCCCTATGCGAACGCTGCTGCTGCTCCCGTTGCTGCTGCTGCTGCTGCTGCTGCTGCTGAAGGTGTACGTACACCTCACGTACCCCCACGTGGTGCAGCGCGACTTCGCCCGTCGCCTCCTCAGCCACCAGCAACTTCCGAGACAGCACCTGCGCATACACCCCAACTCCCACCCCACAGCTGCATGCATGCATGCATACATACATGCGTATATGATGCACGCATGCAGCCCCAAGAAGGGAACCGCATGAATGCACGCTTTCATGCATGCAGCAGCCCCGAACAAAAATAGCTGCTGACACACCCCAACTCCCACCCCACAGCTGCATGCATGCATGCATGCATGCATGCATGCAGTCGCAAGAAGAGAATTGTTGCTCACGGGTTTAACTTCGAGTAGGGTGTAGTCGAGCGAGGGGGGCCCCAGAGGTAGGGGCCCCTCAGGCTGTGCCAACGTTGCAGCAGCAGCAAACGCGCGCGTCTCTGCAGAAATTGCAGCAGCAGCTGCTGCTGTTTTTGCAGCAGCAGCAGCAACAGCAGAATCTGCATCAGCGCCAGTGAGGCAGCACAAAAAGAAACATATTTCTTTTAGTGTTTCCCTCTGCTGCAGAGACAGCCGCTGCTGCACCCGAGACAGCAGCAGCACTGCAGTATCGAGCTGCCTCAGCAGCAGCTGCTGCTGCCTCAGCGTCTTCTCCACCCCTTCTTCGCTGCAAATAAAAACAAACAGCAATAAAAAACAAAAGCATCTTGAGTGCTGCAGCAGCAGCAGCGCCAAAAATTGCAGAAGTACCAACAACTGCAGCAGCGCTAGCAGCAGCAGCAGCAGCAGCACAAGCAGCAGCAGCAGCAACAGCAACCCACCGCATCATCTGGAAGAGACAGAGTGCTGCTGCATAGGCCCAGTTACAGATGCTGCTACACGGGAGAGACGGCAGCGCAGCAGTTAGCTGACGAGACAGCAGCAGACACCCCTGCAGCACAAACACCCACAAGAATATGCACACCCATCAGCAGCAGCAGCAGCAGCAGCAGTAGCAGCAACAGTAGCAGCAACAGCAGCAGCAGCAGCAGCT